ATAAGTTGTACCATTTACTGAGCAGCTGCCATGAGCCAGGCATTGTACCAAGGCCTTTAGATGCATCTCCTCCCCGGCGGCTACTTGGCCGGGAGTGTTCTGTCAAAACGCTGAGTCAGCATCCTCCAAGGACATATTTTTAAATTCCCAATTGGAAAATGAGCATATTGAGTCTCTGAAGGATTATGTGACTTTCCCAAGTTCTTAGCTGCTAACTAGTGAGGTTTGGCCCCTTTGACCTCCCACCCTCCATCTCCCTGGATGTCACCAGATTTCATTTTCCCCTGAGATGAGAATCTATAAACGCTTGGAGTGTAGCTGATTTGGGGAAAAGGATCTTAGTAGGTGCTTCTCTAGCTCTCAGTCCTACTCAGTAAATTGAAATTACCCAATAAATCCCGAATCCTTGCCTGGCAGATTCTGAAACACGGATTCTCTCCCTGCCCCTGTGCCACTCTGACACATATACACTGAGAACTGAGATTCTCACAAAGAGGCAGTCTCAGCAATTGCCAGCACCCACCATCGTGTTCATTCTAAAACCTCCACATCCCGGTGCTTGTCCCCAGGCTGACTCCCCATTAGGCAGCCAAGTTTACCTTTTGGACACTAACGAAGTTGCAAAAGCGTCAAGGTCAGAAAGCCTCTTATTTACTGTAGGGTTAGGGCAGTGTTTGTTTGGAAGCACCATAGTAGGAAGGACTATCAGTCAGGTAAATCAGACAGGAAACAGGATTCTTTTCCAGGAGTTTAACTGGGAAACATGTAGTGAAGGAACAACCTATAGATGCGGCGGGGGGCGGGTTCAGGGAAGCAACAGGGAACACTCAGCTCCCCAGGGATTAGTAAAGCGCGACTGTTACCACCCGGAGCTACAGGGCCAAGGCAGGAAATAGGTGGCCGGGCCTGATGAGAGCTGGACCACGGAGGAGGCCACCCGTGAGGGCAGCGGCCTGAGAGACACAGCCCCTGCCAGAACTGAGGCACGGAAGCGTGGAGGCAGCTGGGGAAGAGACCCCCTCTCCATCTCTGACTTCCTCAGCCCCTCACAGCGGCCAATCCCAAAAAGAAGCCGGGGATAAGGCAGCTGCAGATCAACTCCTAGCAGCCAGCCCCGAGGTCACCAAGTGAGGAGAACCCTTGAAAGCACAAATGCAGAAAGACCGACACAGGGGCACCTCGCTCCTACTTGCTGCCCACATCCCAGTGGGCCTAGCGGCTCTAAGGAGAGAGAAGTCAACCCCCTCACAGGAAGAGAGGAGGCAGAAACCTCCCAAGCCTTGTTTGAAGAAAGGCCTCTTGACAACCTTTCAGAGGCGATGGGTGATACGGAATGAATCTTGCTATGCAGGTAGAGACAGAGCAGGGGCAAGACCATCCCTGCAGGATACAAGGAAATATCCTAGGGAAAGACCCTTGGCTCTGGTGCTTGAGAGCTTCAAAGGAGCTTCACCAGGGGAGAGAGACACCCTTGCCTTTAACAGTTGATCCATCCTCCTCCTCGGAGCTCCATGATTGGACTGGCTGTGTGGAAGGCAAAGATGGTTTCAGACCTTGACTTGGGATAGGGACGAGGCTAAACGCAGCAAAGGGTGAGAGTGGGCCTGGGCTGGGCGCTCCCACCTCCTGACAGAGTTTGGACCCTGTGCTTGCCTTCTGCTGCCCGTGGGTCTGCCGCAGCAAACCCAGTGTGCACATACTTTAAGAGCAAGGGAAATATTTATTATCTTTTGTTTAGAAAATGTGCTGGATAAACTGGATAAAAGAGGAACAAACAGGGTGATTCTTTTTGTGGTTTGCTGAGATTCCCTGGAAAGCAAGCTTGCGAGGCCAGGGTCTTTGTCAGAACATGAGAAGCCAATGCCCTCTCCAAGGCCCGTGTAAACAGAAGTGCTTAGGAGCTGACAGACTGGGGAGGGAAACAGAATTTCCACTTGGTTCCAAGTCATTTCTAGCCTTGACCTTTTGTGTAGAAGCAGAGAGCAAAACTAATCTCCACGATTACTATAACTCAGGAGGAGACACAGTGGGGTAGGGGGAGAGTTGGGGACAATGCTGGGCTTGCAGATTCTGGGTCTGTGGAACTCCAAGGACTGGCTGCCCCTCCACAGGATATCTGTAGGAAAGCCCTGGGACCCTCCTTGTCCTGCAGTCTTGATATCCATGATTTTGAAATGAAGCCCCACCTTCAAAACAGAAAAATCAAGCCGGGTGTCGTGGTGCATGCCTATAATCCCAGCACTCGGGAGGCTGAGGCAGGAGGATCGTTGTGAGTTTGAGACCAGCCTGGGCTATAAACTGAGCTCAAGACCAGCCTGAACTGCATAGCAGGACCCTGTCTCAAAAAGAGAAAAACAAAACAAAACAACCCAGAAAAACCAAGGATGAGTCCTCTCTTTCTCCTTTAGTCTAGATGTTTTCACAGTGAAATGTGAAATTATTATTCTTGTGATTTTACTTACTGTTCACCTGATTTTTACTTCAGAGTTTTACTGACCCCCCTTCATCCTGGCTGGTCATCACATGAAGTGCTCCATCTCGGGCCAGAAACCAGAGTCCTCCTTTCCATTTTCCACCGCACACTGTCCTCGTGCCTCACTCTGGATCCACTGTGCAGCTCCTGCCTGCCTGAGACCCAGCCTCAGCCCTTGGGCCCACTCCTGGCCTCTGGCCTGTGGAGAGTCTTCCCCACTATGCATCCCTGTTTTATCTAACCAAAGTGAAAGGGCAAGACCAGCCGGTCGTAGGTGGCACTTTCCGGTCTCTCCTTTACAAAGAACTCGCTGGCCAGCCCCAACCTTTCTTGTTTTATGTAGTCATTTCTAGAAGCTGGATTTGCCTCTTAGCGTGACAGTGTATTGTGACTCATTTTCCAAAATCTGTCCTTCAGTCTGGTCTGAAGAGATCTGGATATAGGCAGACCGTATTAAAGTCATGAATAAAATAACAATACGAACATCTAGCACTTACCCACCATTTGTCGTTAGCCCGGCACAGAGCTGAGCTCTGACTTACAGTGGGGTTAGTGACTTGACCAGGCTGTTGAGTTGCAGAGACCACTATCCAGATTCCCCCGACTTCAGATGCCAGTCCCAAGGCCCCCGTTGCCAACTGTACTTCTGACCAACCACATATAAATTTGGGGGTGGGGTGCCACATCCTTCTCTGAGTTTCACTAATTCACTAGAATGACTCACAGAACTCAGGAAAACAGTTGCTTACTATGTCTGGTTTATTATAAAGGATCCACTCGTGAATAGCCAAATGGGAATGAGGCATAGGAAGGTGTGGGAACAGGCCGCAGAAATGCCTGGCCTCCAGCCCGTCAACCTCCCAGTGCCTTAATGTGGGAACTGACCCAGAGCTCTCTAAACCCTGTTGTTTCAGGGTTCTATGGAGACTTGACGGCATCAGCATGATAGTTTAAATCTTTGGTCATTGGTGATTAACTTAATCTTTAGCCCCTTTCCTCTCCCTGGAGGTCACAGAATGGGGCTTAAAGTTCCAACTTGCTAAGTAGGCCTTGGTCTTTCTGGCCACCAGTTCCCATCCTGAAGTTACATACCTAGGGGTCCCTACCTGCCAGTTAACTCATTAGCATACAAAAGACACTCTGGAAACTTTAAAGGTTGTAGGAGCCGTGTACTAGGAACCAGGGAAAAAGACAAAACATGCATTTCTTTTTATATTGCATAAAAGTCCCAGGATCTGCCCATCATCCTGACCACCTCCCCCAGGGAAGTGGAATCGGTCTTAGAGCCTGTACTCACACCCTCCTCTTGATTTAGAAAGTCTGCACCCTAAATGAAGAGGCCTCTCCTGGGGTGACCTGTCCTACCCTGAACTCTGAGCATGGCTTTTCAGTACTGCCGGTGCATGGTGTAGCAGGAGCTCAGGATCCAACTTGAGACAGTGTCTCTATCATCTTTCATTCTCCGCTGTAGTGTGGCTTTACAGGCATCCACCTGCTAGCTCCCAAGATGGAACTCTGGCCTGGACCTCTCCCCTAAACTCTAAAATTAGATAGCTAATTGTTTGCTTGACATCCCACCAGAATATCTACCAGGTGTGTCCAAATGACCATATCCAAAATCAAACTTCCAATTCTCTCCTCTGCTAACACACTCCTCCCTCGGCCTCCTGATGCCCCTTAATGGCAGTTCCATCCTTTCAGTTGTTCAAACCAAAAAACTTGCAGTCGGTCTTGTTTTCTCTGGGAATTTTGTATCCCACAACCAAGCCATCTGCAAATCTTGTTGGAAGACCCTTCCGAATAAACCCAAAGCCCAACAACCCTTTACCACTTTTCTCCCTACTTTACTGCGGGTCAAAGCCACCATCATATCTTGCCCACATTATTGCAAAAGCCTCCAGCTGGTCTCTGCTTCCAGCCTCCCCCAGATCCCCTTTGTTTATGCTCAGTGCTGCAGCCAGAGTGACTGTTCAATACCTAAACTAATCATGGCCCTCCTCTGCTCAAATCTTTCCTGGCACTCGGAGCAATGACCAGTGTCCTTCAGTGGCCCACTAAGCCCTGCACAATGTGACGCTCCTCTTTCATATCTTCTATGCACTCTCTGCTCTGGCCACGTTGGCTTCCATATTATTCCTCCAACATGATGGGTAGGGCCCCACCTGAGCACCCTCATGCTTATGGTTCCTCTGCCTGGCCAAAAGAGGATGTTCTATCCCTCCATCCTCACAGCTAGCTTCCTTACTTCAGGTCCCCAAAATATCACCATAGCAGAAGCGCCTTCCCTCACCTCCCTCTATGAAAGAGCAACCTTGTCACCTCTAAGCACACTTTTTCCTCCCTTCTCTTTTTTTTTTTATCTGTAGCATTTATCATCGCCAGTTCATTTGTGTTTTATGAATCACTTCTCATTTCATGTATGTATGTGCGTACACATAAAAATGGCAGAGACTTGGTTTGTTTCCTCAAAGTTGTATCTCCAACACTTACAGTGCTGCCTGGCATGTTGTGGGTGCACAATACATACTTGTTAGATGACTGATGAAGTCAGCAGTGTCCCCAAGGGTAGCTTCAAATGAGAGGGAATGGTGGGTTCACCTGTTGCTTTGGGTCATTTCCATCAGACAAGCTCCTGAAAAACACATTATTCAGTGGTGTCAAACATTGGTACCTGGGTAACAGCAAGGGGCAACAGCTGGTGGAACTTGTTGCTAACAGAAGTGAAAGCCAAAGAAGAAGAAGGAAAAAAAGCAGTGATGAATTGAGTAATTTCCCTCCATGGAGAATGTGACATGACAGCATTTGCAGCAGTTTCAGAACATGCTAGCCTACCGCATGCCTGACCCGTTAGGCAATCGGTTAAAAACAAGTTAACCTCAAGTCTGAGGCCCAGATCCTGAATCTTTTGGACAACTTCCCTCCTTGAAGCATATATCAATTCATAGGGAAAAGGCCTTTAATGAACTTAGAGGCCAAGTCTGGAAGGAGTAGGTTGCAAGGTCATGCGGACCAAAATTCAAAAAGGAGTTCAGGGAAGGTGGAAGGGACAGACATGGTGCCTCAGATCATGTGCCTTCCGATACATGGCAGACAGAGGTGACAGGAGATAGGAGAAGAAGTGAATGCATGGAGGAGATCTAATTTGTCTTTCAGCTTCCCCAAGACCTGGGTCTTTGGAAGTATTGGAGGTGATCCTGTTGGGCACTTTGGCTTCCCTCCAGCTTCCTGTGTTGACATGGGTAAGTGGCCTGGCGACTCCCCCCACTCTTAGCAGCCTTCCCGCGGCCCCTTCCGTGGCACCCTATAGAGTAGCGAGGTGTGACGCAGATCAGAGCCAAGAGTGGCCTCCTGGGAGTCATACATGCTGCTCCAGCCTTCCTGACCCTCCTGAGCCTCCTGGGTGGTGGCCCCACCTCCATTGCTTCCCTGTGTTCACATGCACCCACTCACCTGAAAGTTCAAGGGTGTAGAGACAACCACTCTTGAGCCTCCCAGGTGATCTGTGTCTTCTGCTTCACCTCTCCCATCCAGCTGATCCCAAATGGCCAGACTTGCCCTGTCTGTTCCCTCCAGCTACCACCCACAGAGACAGAGCCAAGAAGGGACCTCTCCACTTTCCAGCCAGTGAAGGAGGCAGCTCAGAGATGTCTCCATTCCTGGAGCACAGCACCTTAACGCAGGTCCGCTGGCTCAAAGGCATAGCCATCAGCTGGCCTTTCCTTCGACTGAGTTTTGAGAGCCAGGCCACGGTGTTTGTCTGGGAGGGCAGGCTTGCCGGATTTCACAAGTAAAATTAGAGAACAACCAATTTCAGATGAATGCTGAGTAATTTTTAGTACAAGTATGTTCCATAAAATATTCAGGGGACACACACACACACATACACACACACACACAGGAAAATAATTCCTTGCTTGCCTGAAACCCCAGTATTATTGGGTGCTCTGAATTTTATCTGGCAACCCTGTGTGCAAGGTTCCTAAACATCCCAGCTACTCCCAAATCAGCCTGCATGGAGCAGGGCCTCCTGGGGGGGGCACAACCTCCAACTCCAAATGCTGGTCACCACCCACGTCTTGAGGAGCAGGTCTCACCTTTTCTCCATCTTCTCCCTGACTTTGTTCTTAGTTCCAGAACCCTCGGGAGCCCTCTGCCAGCCTGGCACACACACCTCGCCCACACTCCACTGTCTCTGCCCTAGGAATCCCTGACTCCCTCTGTGTCATGTCTGTGTCCTTCACGTGGTGATCGTCCTCTCTCAGTCCCATCTCAGCGGCCCTGCTCCCCACGCTCCTCACGCGGTTCTCTTCTCATCTTGCTGGAATCCCTTTTCCCCTGGAGACCTCCGGTAACAGCCAGGAGGCCCAAGTCCCGCGTGGGATGAGCACAGACACGGGGGCAGGAGCGACCATGCCCTGGGGTCATCCCTGGAGAAGACCCGGGGGGCCTCAGAAGGGTGAGGGGTGCATGTTTCCGTCTGGGCCCTCAGGCGTTCTTTATCGAGTGGTCTGCCTTTAAGATGCAGGGGGAGAGACGTTCGAAGTACACAGAGCAATCTGAGCAAACCCACAGAGCATGAGGAGGCAACAGCCCTGTGGTGAGTGAGCAGTTTGGTGCCTGCAGAAACATTTCAGGCCTTGGCTGCTGGAGGCAGAGGACACGTAACAGAGCGGGAGTCTGGGGAGGCTGCGAGGATCCTTCAGGTTCCCTCAGCATCACCCAGGGACCCACTGTGCCCCCGTGGAAGGCAGAGCCTGCGGAGGGGTCCCAGGCCTTGTGAGGTGACTGAGGCCACAGGAACACCCTGGGGAGCATGCAGGACTCTCTGCTGGTCTCCTGGGGCTGGCTGAGGGAGGGGATCTTAAGGCACAGACAGACCAGGGGCTCAGGGAAGCTCACTGAGGCCTTGGGTCTTTGGGATTTGTCCATCAGCTCTGTCTATGGCACCTGCAGGCCTGGTAGGAGGCAGGAAGGCTCTCCAGAGACAAGGTGACCCTTAGTAGTGATATAAATGGAAGGAAGGCTACATGATAGGTTAAGAAAGGTAGCCCCATGCTCTGTCTAAACTTTGGGAGTCCAGCGGGGAGAATAAGAAAGCCTGGCTTCTGCACACCCAAATATCCAGAAGTTACAAATGAAGCTAAGCAGCTATTAAATCCAGTGTGTTCTCTCTTCCTACCTTAACAACCGCCCCTTCATGATATCTTGAGGGCCAGGTTTGACTGTAGAACTTGCTTCAGACGGTAATTGCACCCAGCACTAGAAAGAAGCTCAGGCATGTGTACGTGGACACCCAGCCCCCATATCCAAGCTCCACCCTGGGTCGCCCTGGAGGCCTGTGGGTGTGTGTATCCATGCCATGGCCCACACTACCTGGCAAGACAGACTTGGGTTAGAGGCCTACACTGGCCTTGAGTTTAGGCTCAGGGAATTCCAGGACCCTAGTACCCGAAGCAAGGTCCAATAGAGGAGCGTGTGTGGGTTCATAAAGCACAAGTTCCTGTTACCCATGGACACTTCACCCACGGCTGGGCTGTGGCTACGGGAGAGCCCGAGCAGACCCCTGGTGCAGGTACCACACACAGAGGCCTTGACACCGGCCCAGGGCCAGCGCCCAGTGGGCAGGAGGTCAGTCAGTGAAAATGTGAAGGAGGAACTTGGCTGTTTCCTAGAAGAGCCCTCTTGATGCCCGGGCACCGCCTCCCCACTGCCAGAGTTGGGTGTCTGCCTGCCACCTCGTGCACCGGGGTCACGCAGGTGTCACTGTCTCACGCTCCTGACACAGTGGAAAGCTTGTTTTCCTCCTCTCCTCCTCCCTGACTCTAATCCCCACCAGCCTGTGCCACTTGGCTGGCCTCCTTGGCAGAAAGGTGACAAAAGGATGTGTCTCATGAGAGTCAGATCCCTCAGCTGCCGGAACCCAAAGCCTCCTTGGGGTCACATGAGCCAGTGGCTGAGAGTCCTGCCCTCCGCTGACTGATCTGGTTTCCTCTCACCTCTTCTGGCTGGGGGAGGGGGTCACTCAAAGCAGATTCATTCAACTTAAAAGCAGGAGCTGTCACAGCGCTTAGAGCAAGCGTCTTCTCTCCTACACTCATGCTCCCGTCACACGGCCTGGCCCAGCCTTCCCTATTGAGCCTCACTTTCAAGTCGTTCCCAGCATCCTCCGGGGCTCCTGCCGGCTCACCCACACGGGGCTCCTCCCAGCATCCGCTCGTCTGCCCGCTGCTCCTCTGTTCTCCTCACTTCTGTCCCAGTGCCTTTCATCCTTCTAGGTACACGTGAAGCCTGCTCTCCATGGAGGGTTCTTGGCGCTTCGTTAACCCTTCTGCTTTGTCATTTGTGCCATTTGCTACCTGCACCCTACATCTGGCCCACGGACAGTATTTATGTCAGTACTTTATATACCATATGGCACTCGTGTTCTTTCCTAGTTACATAAAAATCCTAGAGCTAGACCTGGCCTTCATTTTCTGAAGGTGAGGAAACAGAGAGAGGAAAGTTTCATAACTTACCCAGGCTGAACCTGCTGAGCTTGGCAGAGCTCAATGCAACACCCAGACTGTACTCTGCCTCACAACACCATCCAGAACCTGCCCGCAGCCCCCCGGCTGCCTTCCCGCACGGAGCCTGTCATCCAGGTGTGGGGCCTTCAGGAAGGGCAATTAAGTCACATATACTCATCAACTGGGCAAATGGTGTCTTCCCATTTACTGGCAGGACACAGCCTCCAACTGCATCCCACCCCATGTAGCCTGTGTTTTCCAAGCTCTTTGCATTTTAGTAACCACTGGGCAAAAGAAAAGAAAAGAATGAAAGAAAAAGTCATTAATAGAGGTCACACAGATTTTCTCAGAACAGCTCCGATTCCCTGCTGTGTCCGCATGAGGAATTTCAGGAGCTCCCTTTCCTTCAGAGGGAGTAAGCATGTTCCTGCTCCCTGAGGCAGGGAAGTCGAGGTCAGCCTCTTTTGCTGCCAGTGCTCCCCCATCCCTTGCCTTTGCATTTTGTCAGCACCGAGCTTTTTAGCATTCATCTCAGCTCCGCGCGGGGAGGCTGGAGCGGGAGAGCAAGGAGGGTCTCAGTAAACAACCAAGGGAGGGGCTGAGCTAGAACCCAACTTCAGCCAGGGTGGGAGGCTTTTTCTCCTGCCTCCCTCCCTACTCGTCCTGCTCACTGCAAGGAGGAAAAACAGAACAAAGAGTCACAGAGAGCGTCACCAAGCACCTCCAGAAAGCTGCGGGCAGACGCCTGGCCGGGCGGCTGACTTTCTCTGTTTCTGGTAGAGGTTTTATAAATACTCGGGGAGTTTGATCTGAGGCTGTGAGTGGGGAGGTGAGGAGAGCTTCACCAGGAGGAGATAACTCAGCCCGCAGGGGTTCTTGGCCCTCTCTGAGGCCTGCTTTTCATTAGCGTCACCAAGGCAACAGCTCATCCCCTGCAGATCTCATCCCAGCCTGCACAGCACCACGGTGCACTTTCCGTCTGTGGAGATCAGTAGCCATCATTCTTCCTGAAGCCCCGCCCCTCCCCCCTTGAGGCAGGGAGAGGAAAACTGCAATGACAATGTCCTGAGGCCTGCTGGAGGAGCAGAGTGGTGAGGGTCCCGTCTTCAGGGAGGCGATATGCCCTGAGGACTGTTCCGAGCTGGGAGTGAAGAATCCCAAGCAATCAGACAGAACCAGAACCGCAGCAGCACCTGGCTTGAGTTCCTCCTCCACTCACTCTGCCTTGACTCCCGCCTCCCGCTTCCCCTGGCCTTTGTCCTCCACACACGCCTCTATCTGCGACCAAGGCAAACATTTGCAGAGTTTCCAAGGAACTGCCTCCCTGGCCACTGTGTTGATCAGCTTCTGGTGCCCATGGAAGTTCAAGTGCACGGGTGACTCTGGCTTGGACTAAGTTGTCCAGTAGATCCTAAGAGGGTTTTTGGGGGGCAGACGAGGTGGGTAAAGGGAGACCTGTGTTTACAGAGCAGCAGGAGAGTGGGGAAGTCAACCCAAAGAGGAGAGCCAGGCTGGATGACCTACTTGGCCAGCTGGGGAATGTGCACCCAGAGCTTGTAACCTCCACCTGGCAGACACTCCCCTCCTCAGCACTTACTCCAGGAACTCCCTGTACCAGATGAAAAGTCAGCTCCCTCTAGCTATGAGCTCCCCGGGGCCAGCAGACAGGCGGTCCTGCTGTCTGCTATAGCCAGCAGCTAGCACAGCGTCTGCACGGAGGAGGCCCCCATTAATGTCCGCTGCAAAAAGACACCCCTCTGCGGAAATAAAGGAGGGGAGGAAAGTCATCCGAGGGCTGCAGGGGCTAGGCTGGAGTTTTCTGGGTCAGTCTTGCTCACCAGGCTTTGTGCTTTGGAGCAAACCTGCCCTAGCCTCTCCCAAACCCCTCCTTTCTGTGGAATGCAGCTCACCCCTGCCCTCCTGAAAGATTTGCTCTCAGCCCTCTAGCAAGCCCTGGGGAACTGCAGACTCTCAGACTGGAACTAAAAAGCCAGAGGAGGAGATCCCTCCCGCAGCTTTCAATGGACCAGAACCAGGAACCCAACTCACCATGGCCCCTTACCTTCTTGCTTCTCACTCCTACTTTTCCCACCGAGATCGGCCCTGGTGGAGCAAACTCCTAATTCCTTTGCTGACCTAAGCAGGAAATTCCCTTCACCTTATAGGAGAGATCGTAGGAGGAAGATTTCATCACATCAGTCCCCCTAAGATACAGAATCGTATCAAAGTCTTATCCCAATCCCTGGGGAGCAGGCGTCTTCCTCTATGGGTTTCTGGGCCTCACTGAAGCAGGCCACTGCCGGGCTTTGTGACTCAAAGCTGGTGTTTAGGGTTTAAACTCTCAACCTAGTA